CCTTGCTTGATTCTCGGCGGGGTGTGCGTGTGACGGGCGGTTAGCGTACAGTCGGCCCCTTGTTTGCGAATATCGATTGCGCAGGCACATGCAGCTCGAAAGTAAACACCACACAAACGAACACGATGCTTTTATGTTTTTTAACATTTCACGTCCGTTCTAGTGGCAACATTCTGCGAATCGTGCTGGAGAACCTCCGCGACCAGGGTCACCATGGGTGTGTCCGTCCGGAAATTCTGCAGCAGCGATCTAGTCTACATAAGTACTTCTTTTCGGTGTGTGTGGTACATAAGCTTACATCGCGTCGTCAAAACTGCTAAGCGTCTCGCCTACATGGTCCTACCATGGCGAATTGTGTGGGGTGCACGAACGAGACCGATAGCACTATTTAGCCGATACTTGGCGACAAAGAAGGTACCACAAGCCAGCACCAGGAGTGGCGGGACTTGACATGAACAGCCTCACGGTGGGTGTTGCTGCTGCAGGTTGATCGAGACACTGGGCAGACTCTTCGACGACAAGGTACCACCGGCATTGTAACGTCGAGCACAAGCCTACAGGAAGTAGGAGGGGGCGCCTTTTCCCCCGGAGTCGGTCTTCCGCTATTAACAACAGCCTCTCGAGTTTCACATTTCTCGTGTGCTCTGCCACTCAGTGGTCTGCCTGGGTAAAAGGACGCTCGTGCTAGCAGCACCCTGGACTGGTGGGAACTAAAGCGGCTGATATTAATGAGAGGTGCCCCGCAAAGACAGTTCAAACCCGGCTACGAGAAAACAGAGCCCACCGGCGCGTATGCATCCGCACAGATATATATATATATATAGGGGCGGTAGTTGATGAGGCCCTGAGAAAAAGAAACGAGTCATCGCGGCCGGGTCAACTCATCTCCGGTCGTTACACTCTATTTTGCCTCGTCATGGAGCAGTTTACGTGACAACTCTAATGACACGCGTGTGGCCATGGCGTTGTTTCGCAACGCACATGGCAGCTGACTGCTTCCTACCGTTGCCGCTGCTGCTGCTGCTGCTCGGGGCTTGGCCGCAGAACAAGTCGAGTAAGAAAAAAATAAAACGACGCGCTCGAGGAAAGGCCTTGTCCGACTAATCTCGAGAAATTTCATGACAGGCCGTCATGAACGGCACAAGATATCTACGAGTCGTCTCGGTGGAAGGCACTTCACCCACACCTTCGGCAAACAGGGACACAACGCGGAACACTGCTGCTGCGACTTGGCCGTGCTCGCTCGCTCGCTCTCGCGAGAGAGTCGCATCAAAAAACCGTCTGGACATCAACAAAAACTTAATGCCCGATGTTAGCATCCTTCAAGCAACACGATGGTACTGGTGTGACGTTCTCATGAGAATCCTGCCAAAAGCAAGGGCGAGGGCTGTGCTCGGCAAAGCACGACCCACAGGTCGCGTACAGCTCGTAATCCGTACCGTATCGACTGTCTACGTCCCGCGTAACCTCAATGGGACCAGAGCTAGTTGTGGCCAACAACCACATGAACATAGCCGAGCCACGTGCCAACACTGCCGTGCTTCTTCATCCCGTACACAAATGCAAGGTTTGGGCGGGAAGGCGTGATGAGCAAACAAGTGCTTTCGCATCGAGCCCGCGGGAGGGCGAAAAGGCACGCAAACAAGTAAAATGGGCTTGTCCGGGACAAGAGAGCTCAGGAGGGTGCACAAACGGTACTGGTACGTTGTGGGCACCCTCTTCAGAACAGAGCACCATGGGTATGTGTGTATCAAACTGTCGTGGGCGCCGCCAGCCAAACCCTTACACAACCAAAAAAATATCGTTCAACGTTGCACACACTCCCGCCCGGGAGGATACTTGACGGTAAAAATACCACGTGCAACACTCGGAGGCAGCAGCCCAGCCACACCGAAAAACGCTGCTCTCGACAACAAGAAGGCGCCGCATCTCCAAAAGTCGGTAAGTTAGATGCGTCGCTGGCTGTACACACACACACACACCTGGTTGAGCTCTGAGATAGAGCTCTTGAGATTCTTCTTGGTGAGATTGGTCACGAGGTACCGTATCTGCCAGAAGATGGGCGACGCGAACATATCTCCCTCTAACAGCGCTGGCAAAGCTGGACGCACCCCGTGCACCTACAGGAAGGAGGGGGAATAAAGGGGGAAGGGGGGGGGGGAGAAAAACAGTCACCGTCACCGTAGACGTGGCTACGAAAATACGACCTTGTTAAGCAGGCCTGAATGCTCACACTCACGTTCACCGCGAAATATTATTCAATGCAGCATGTGCATACCAGAAGACCATTGGATCCAGACAGCACAAGGAAAATGTAGAGGCTTCGCGACAGAGGTGGGCTAAACAACAAGCACAGGCTCGAGGACAACACACAAGTGTGTGTTCATGTGTCGCGAGCTGATGATGCGATTGTCCAGAGTGCTAACATGTATCTGTCTGAAGTTCTCTTCGGTGCCCGACAATGGGGCTGCCGGTGGGTAATTTTTTTACCATGAAAACCTGCTCAAGGCAAGGTTCTAAACAAGGAGACCAAGGAGGTAAAAGCGTGTGCTGTTCTCTGCAGTAAATTGAAGTGTCGACCGCCCGACGGAATTGGTTGGCCAATCAAAGGCAGACAGCAGTTCTTGACCGGAAGAGAATAATTTCATGAACGCCTCTCCAAAACTGCTAGCTCCGCCTTGGGGATGTTTACCAAGATCACCGTGACAGGCAGATTGATGTGCACAAGCAGCACATGGCTGCAGCGGCACCATAAGCGGAATGTCCGTGGGTGCAGGTAGATCCGTTGGTTGGTTTGACTTGGGAGTCGTCGCCCGAAAGAACGGTCTAGCTTCAGATAATAAAAAGCAATGTAGATAAAAAACTGGTGTGTAAGTCGGCTAAGACGAAAACACGCCTCGGTTGCCACCAACACTACAGCTCGACAGTAATTGCGGTTGTCTTCCTAGTCGGGAGAGAGAAGAGATGCGGGATG